TTTGACAGAGTGTTCGCCCCTGAAACGCTTATGGTTTGAATGCCACTTTACCAGGTCAAGTCCACCTAATTTTAGCAACTCCGTTACCTCGTGTTTTATTCGCGAAAGTTCCGTAAGCGAGTCAGCACCGCACAGCAGGCCATCAACGTAGAAAGATGACTTGACGACATTTGCACCAACGACGAATTGCGATGCATGTTGATCAGCAAGGTGATGCAGACTACGTACCGCGAGGTATGGTGCGGCCTCCATTCCGTATGTGACCGTATTAAGCTGGAAGGTTTGAATTTCCTGGTTAGGCGAACTCCTCCACAAGATGTACTGGAACCTTCGATGTTCTTCACTGACCAACACCTGCCGATACATTTTAACGATGTCTGCTGTGAGCGCAAAGCGATGTAAACGAAATTGGAGGAACAGAACTACAAGCTCGCTTTGGATGGTAGGGCCTACCATTTGGATGTCGTTTAATGAGGTTTGAGTAGTGGTCTGACAAGATGCGTCGAAGACAACCCTTAGCTTTTTTGTGCTACCTGGCTTCAGAACGCGGTGATGGGGGATGTAATAGTGAGGCTGGTTTAAGTTCGGGCTCAGAACTACCTGCATGTGGCCTAGTCTCTCATATTCGTCCATGAATTCGATGTACTGTGTCCTGAGGTTAGGAGAGCGTAGCAGACGACGTTTTTGTGCACTAAAACGACGCAAAGCTGTGGTATACGATTCACCCAAGCATGCAGGATCGTCCTTGAACGGCAGTTTTACGACAATTGGACCATTTGGGCTCCGAGTCACGGTGTCGTTATAAAGTTTTTCCCAACTGTGTTGCTCACGAGTCCACACGTCCGCCTTTGAAGTGACTTCTTCAATCTGCCACAATTTTTCCAGTCTTGAGTCTATGGACTCTTCACAGGCATGTAAACATTTGGTGTTAAGCGTGTTAGAGCTCGCACGATAGCGTCCAGAAACGTCCCAACCCAAAAGCGTTTTCTGCAGAATTGGTAGACTATCACCAAGTTTTATTTGGCCCACTGAAAGTAAACTGAAAAAACTTTCCGTTCCTAAAGGCAAGTCGATTTTTTTAGATTTGTAAAATTGATTGTCTGCAAGCACAATACTGGATGGGATGTCCCAAGACGAAGTATCTTTTTCCGGTTCAGGCTGATAGGCTATATGCGATGTTATACAAAACGTGAGTGGTAATTCGAATTCTGTCACTTGCGATTTTATATTGGTAGAGGTCGTATATTTGATGTTTGTAGATGACTTACCGATACCTTTAATTTCAGTGTTATGTTTTCTCCGTGGAAGCATCAGGGTTTGTGATAATTCATCCGTAATGAAGTTTACCTGGGAGCAGGAATCCAACAATGTTCTGCCAAGTCGATAACCACCAGATGCGTCGCGAACCAAAACTATAGCAGTGGCGAGAATTATGTGATCCTGCGATGAGTTGTTCATGTGCGTATGAACGGCGGAGAGGTAGACGAGTCGGACGTAGTTACTCGATGAAGCAGGCTATGGTGCTGTCGAGAGCAAACCTTACATTTGTGCAAAGATGGACAACTCGATAGTTGGTGGCCCTTTGACAAACAATTTATGCAAAGGCCCATCTTCTTTGCGTGGTCAAAACGCTGTGACACATTAAGTGCCTTGAAGCGATCTCAACTATGTATTTTGTGCTGGAGCACATCGAACATGACGCACTCGAACAAGCAAATGAATGGCTCTTGTGATGATTCTTTGCTTTGGGCGCTTTGGCAGCAATTTGGCGTACGGATCCAACGGCGTGAGTGTTATCAATTGAGTCTAGGTACTGGCAATGTCTCTCCAAAACCTTGGTGCAATCGTTCCAGGTCGGTAATGTTTTAAAATCTAGAGACTCCTTCCATTTACGGTTTGTCTCCTCATCTGCCTTCTGTAAAACTAAATAAATAAGCATGGCTTGTGAAATTTGGCTTTCTGTGCCCAATGACAATAATGAGCCGTAAATTGCAGACGCTTTGTCAATGAGACTTCTCAACTGGGCGCCATTGGACTTGGAAACTGACGAAAGTTCCAACAACGAACATATGTTTTCTAAAAATATTAAGGTTGCATTGTCATACCGAACCTTAAGTCTATCCAATGCCTTCGGATAGTTTTCATTAGAAACTGGAAACGCATCAATTGTTTCTAACGCCGGCCCTGGAGACAATTGCGTAAATGATTAAATTTCTCTATGTTTGAGAGGC